GCGTCAAATTCGACCACTACTTGTGAGGATCTGCTCGACGCTATCGAGTATCTCGTGCTGATGGAGATGGACAAGTCATTGAGGCAAATATGCATCACGCTCTTGCAAGCGCTCAGGCCGAATGAAATCTTCAGGCGCAGCATCAGGAAGATGCTACGAGTATTTTGCAAAACCGAATCAAGCAATATTGCGATGGAGCTCAAGAAAGGCGTCAGTCAGCTGATGAAAGCCAACTTGGTGACAAGATCGAAGAATTCAGCAAAAAAAAATAGGTCTGCGTCTATCATCTATACAAAGTCAGCGCCAGTCCGTTGATAGTCGCTCGCAAGGACAATAAAAAGGGGGAAATACGAAGCTAACAAAAGTCGCGAAAGAGGTAGACGACACCAAAGACACCAAAGAGACCAAAGGGGCCGACGATTCGGCAAAGAGCGTTCGTGCACCTGTGTATATGATCTAACAAAACAAAGAGTGGAGGAGTCCGTGAAGGTGATTCACGGTCTGATTTACGATGTAATTTGCCGGTGCAAGCAAACGCAAGAGAATATCATAGTGGAATGCATGGAGAAGAAAGCGGCGACGAGTAATCGGATAAAGAACACAGCATTCAGCAACGAATGCGGGAAGCTTTATTTAGATCTCAAGTCTCAATTATCCCATTAAAATCAGCAGACGACGAGCTCGGGTCAAGACACCAGATTATTGAAGACGCAACTTCTTACCACCTTAATAACAGTGCTGCGTCCCTAGTGCCACGCCGCCAAGCGCAAACGTTGCGCAATCTCAACGTACATCACGTGACCGAGAGCTCGTCGCTTAACCATCTTCGACGGTGCCGCATCTTTGTTGACGGGCGATTATCCACAACTCTGGAGATATCACTACACCACATCAGACTGAACCCGTTAACCGCGTTGTGGAGGACATCCTCCGAAGCGTATGCGCCGAGGCGCCGAAACGCTGGAGCACAATGCTCCGCTCATCGATTTTGCTTTGAGCAATGCGGTGCTCGCTCATTTGCTCTTGCTATATGTGAGACGTGTCCGAGGGAAGACATATCAATTTATTCCTTGCGATAGGCTGTGTGGAGTACACAAATACTGCGAACTTTGTTCCCCACATCCAATGAATTATCATTTCTTACGCACTCCATTAGGGGTTTCAAAATCACGCTTTTTGCATTTATTTGAGCCACATACGGTAAGCAAATCAGCGCCATTTCACCGGGGTACAGTATCACTGTATTTTGCCATTTCGAAATACCCTGGGTATTTTGGATGAATAGTCTTGAAAAGGAGATCAGCAGCAGGAAGTCGATGTCTTACCTGTCTACAAGGGGGGACCTGCTGTCGCCGCCAGCTTTATCGGCACTCTCCTCTCCCTTTGTTTTTGCTACCATTTAGCCCCCTCCCCCGCATGCTGACAGACACATCGCTGTAGCATAACGTTAAAATAAAGCGTTAGGAAAGCTTACTTTTCTTGCACACTACCTACGTGTAACTGCATACACAACGCTCCAATGTCCACACTATCGAAGCGGAAATGCCTACCATATGTAAGGTCGGCCCGCTGGCGGTGCTCAAGCTACACCTATCAGCGCGAGCATGCTTCATTTCTGCGGTTGGGTAGTGAAATATCAGCTGGCAATCCGCTGCAACGGACGACGGCAGGTTGGAGAATTGCTGTCTTGAAACTAATGAAACTCACGACCTGTATCAAGCGTCGACAGCAACCACTGCGGTGGTTATTAAGGTAGCACAGGGAGGAATGCAACTACATAACATGCATGGGCAGAATAGCAAGAAGCTAACTAACTAACACACTTTGCAATTCGCAATCTCAAGAACAAGTCGACCTACAGCAAAGGCTTACGTCGACTACAAGTACAAGTTCAGCTCGTCTATGCCGAAGACACTACAGTTGACTCAACTACAAATATTAATATAGGAGTGCTACCACGGAAACCGTTGGCCGCATATTATTAAATTAGTCGTGACTTGATACAGGACTGGCAAGTACGGGGATTCCAATCCGAAGGAATAAAAAATGCCAAAGTGCCAATTCTGAAACCCTCTTTTGGCTATTTTGACCTTTAAGAATGCCATTACTTTTTGCGAATGTCATCTCGCAAAAGTTTACCAATAATCTAGCCCTGTCGGAACGAGCAGAGGGCAATCTGCTCCCTGATCTCGGAGGAGCAAGAATCGGGGCTCTCGGATTTTTGTGGGAGCAGATTTTTTTAAGATAGTAGATGCTTCTGTTGTGAAGGTATTACCAAGTTTGCCGTTTTGGTCCTATTCAGTGAGTCACTCGAATACAAATTTCCTGTTATTTTGAAATGGCCTAGATCACAATACCGATAGAGTCTTTAGGCGGTGTTTGAATCCATTCTAAAATCACGCTTTTTGGCGAATATTCGCGATTCTTAGCTTTTCTCAATTTCTCGAGATACTTCGCTTCCGCAATCTCAACTTTCAAATTACAATAATTACTTGAGGATATTAGCCAATCATTTGTGTAAAAGTCTCCTCACCCATGTCACTCACCCGATAGAGGGACATTTACCTCTTACTGGCCCCTTTCAGCAAAAATATAACCTGGAACCTGAAAAAAAAAGTTCCAAGCTTTGTTTTTCCCATGCGTTCAGCAAATCTTCCCCTGGAGGTGCTGCGTGCTCTCCACAATCATTCTGGCTATATATTCTAAGAGGTCGCGGCCCATGAACGTCGGACTGCTGCATCTACAGTCTCCGGTATCGTGCGCGAGGTGTCGTCCATTGTATGCCAAGAGCTCACGGATTTAGTAGCTTTCCCCCCTTTGGTACAATGTGCTTCCCATTTTACTGAGTTGTGTGGTGTGCCACAGATTGTGGGCTGTATTGATGGATCACATATACCTATTGCTCGACCTAGCGATGATGGAGACATGTATTACAATCGAAAATGCTGGTATAGTGTAGTATTGCAAGCCGTTGTCGATTGGAGGGGGAGGTTTTGCGACCTGGATTGCAAGTGGCCAGGACGCGTAGGTGACAGTCGTGTGTTTCGCAACAGCACATTGGGTCGGGTGTTTCCCAGTGTGTCTGCGGCTGCGGCAAGTGTGGCGATACCGACTGGAGATGACACCCATGTAAATCTGCCACCGTTTTTGCTAGGAGATTCTGGCTATCAAAATACCAATTTCTTAGTGACAACATTTGAGCTGGCGGAGACAGAAGATGAACTTTGCAAAGACCTCAACGAGCATCTTACTCGCGCACGTTACCGTGTAGAATGTGCGTTTGGACAGCTCAAATGTAGGTGGCGCATTTTGCTCCGGGGGGTCGATTTGGACACGGAGATTGCTCCAGACATTGTGTACGCTTTGTGCATCATTCAAAACTTCCTAATGGACTACAGTGATACTGTCGCTATCGATGAAGAAGAAGTAAAGAGTGTATTGCAGGAGTACGAAAGAAAATTCCCACAGCCTCAAACGGAGCTCGAGCCAGCTATGACTAACAACCTACGAGAAAAACTAAAGCAGTGGTGGGCATTTCATCGCTCGTAACGTGGCAAAATGCGTTAGAGCTTGTCCAAGAAAGCTCGCAATAGCGTCATGTGCTCATCATGTTGCTGGCGGCGCTGGCTTAGCTCTTCTGCGTGCAATAGACGTGCTTGAGCAGTCCTTGGAGTTTATCTTCGATTGCCTTCTTTGAACGCTGAGTCGACGGGACGGCAGCTTGGTAAGCAACGAAAATGCGCTCGTTAAACATCGTCGTCTTCTCGTCCTTGGCTCGACCACTTCTGTACACAGCGCGCCACGCGCGCACCAGAGCAAGGATCGTGATGTCGGTCCAGTTGCGCTTGAAGTCAGAGATCGCAGGCTCTAGAGCTCGCACAGACGCAGGTTCCGCAGAGCATAGGGGCTCTGCCTCGGGCTCTCCGCTATCCATGCGCAGGCTGAAGGGGGGGGGGTGAAAATGAGTGCCACGGAGAATCTATCCAGTCTCACAAGTTCCACGTTTCAGGGACCTCTTCCGCTCCCTAAAACTTTGGCACTGAACCGAGGTTTACTTGGAACTTTTAGTGACTTTTTTTGCGGTTGGAGGAGAAAAAAGTGGTATGCTGAAAGTGTTTTCCCTCGAACCTAGAAAAAAACTTCCAGGTTAGAGGTTCCAACGTTTTGCTGAAAGGGGCCACTGGATGTAATTTGTTTCAGAAGTTGCTTTTCGCTCTCTCGGAGATTGGAGCCTCGCTTTCGGGATAGAGGGCGGGCAGAGATAGCGTATCAGGCGGGCAGGGACAGCGGGACGTTGGACGGGCAGGAAACAGGGACAGCGGATGTAGTACGTAGAGTAGCTATTGAGGCTTCTTTATCGAGAGAAGGCATATTGACTGACGCAGTGACTACGGTATGGGTTGTAACGAGAGGACTAGAAAGTCCCGTTAACGCCCAAGGGCGACGTCTCTGCAAGGCTGTCTACCACGTTGGCGGAGGTAGTCGTCGCTGCATCGTCGATGACGGCAAGTACCTCCCGGATGCGAAGTGTCACCACATGTGGTCGTCGCTGCGCGATTGAGGCTACAGTACGGCGTGCACAAAGGTGGGCGTGCTGCCGTTGCCTCGGCTTCCCTCTACGCCCATGATCCCACAGGTATTTGGTGGGTGGAGACGTCGTCATGCCGATATGCGCAAGGCCTCTGTCTCTCTTGAATCGGTAGATTGGTGTGCCCTGGTGCATGCTTCTATGGTCGGTCTCTTGATCTGGTGGGCGTGTTTCAAGCGTCGACGACGATTTAGTGCTGTCGCTCTATGGAGTCTGACCACTTGGTGACGGTTTGAATAGCATAAGGTACGAGTTGGTTGTGTGCGCCCAGTCACTATGCGTGATGGCTGTTGCTTACATTTGTGTTAATGCAAAGTGATGGCTAGTTAGGCTTCCAGTTTTGGGGTTGACGACTACTGCATCAAAGAATCGATCACGTTGGCGGTCACTGGCAGGTGGAACCCCGCTAACGTTATGTCGCTAAGATGTTGGAGTCGTTCTTTTTCTTGTAGTGCGTGTACAGGCGGCTTGGACTATGCCACAAGTTTTGCTGTTGTTAGTACCATCGCGATCAATCCATGAGGTGTGGTCACTAGCGAGACCAACAAGTGCGTTTGCTGGGGCTTATTATTAATAATTACTCCCTGAGTGGATTTCTCACGGACACGTCATTGTACGCGTGGTTGACCACGAAGTCCAGCAAGCAGCGGGCAATGAGGAGGAACTGCGGGTACTCACAGATGGAGGACGAACTGTCACCGTCAGCCTGCAGCGCCGCGAGCGCGTCACTGGGCGACCTCCTGTCATTGCTCTCGGTCGAGCAAGAAATGAGGTGCATCGCCACGTCGGGTACGTCACGCAGCGCCTCCTTCTCGAACGCCGGTCTAGTATAGTTAGCTTGCACATGTTGAAGAAAGTTACACGGTGTAGCTTACACGTACGACTAGGATCTTGTAAGCAGCCACAAGACGATCCTCAGCGATGCTACACTGGTCCAGTAAGTAGCTCTGCAGTACTGAGACAATGCTGCCGCAAATGTGCGCGTCCTTATCTTCCCCGTTCTGTTCTTCGTCCCTGAATTGGCTCACAGCCTGCAGAACTCGATGTGCTTGTGGAAGACGGAGCACGTTCGCGACAGAATCGACACGTCGCCAGACACACACAAATCGTCGTTGGCATCACCACTCCCAGCACCACTCGACACAGCGCCACTCGACACACTACCACCACCGCTAGACACTGACACTGCGCCGCCCGTCGAAAGGCTGCTAACGCCACCAGACAAAGACACACGACCAGCTGCAGAAGATGCACTACAGCAGCGGCACCTCAACACTGCTAGCTCATATGAAAACTAGGAAGCCAGCGTCACCACGCCCGACACAGCGTCAGCCGATGAGCCGCTGCAAATTGTTGTCGGCACGAGGCGTCGCCACTTACAGAAGCACCCCTCACGACGCTCACGCTGCCGCTGCCAAGCAACTCCGTGCCAGACAAAGTACACACACCACTGTCACTTCACGCCAGAAACATAGTCACCAGTAACTGGGAATCCCAGGGATAACTGTTAAGGGAAATGGTCAAATTAGTAGCCGCTTTGAACAGCTTGCACACTTTGGTCAATATCATCAAGAGGAATAGTACAATTGAAACGCTACTTGCGCCATCCAAAAGAGCAGACACACAGCTATTTTTGTGATTTTTTACTGGTTAAATGCTGTAGTTTTGTTGCATTTGTGGGGCTTGGAAGTTGGGCGCTACGTTTGACGGACTTGTCAGTTTAGTAGCCACATTTGACTTAATTTCATTAAACTGCTCGACTTGTCTGATAAGGCTAAGGGTTAGGGGAAAATCCTGTCTTAAGTCAAATTGAACCATTTCAGTATTATAAGTGGTTTATAAACTGCTACAGCCTAAACCCATGCCTCTACCACAGGTTCAATTTCCGTCGCTGGCACCTGGCCAGCTTTCTTCTTCCTGGAAGACACAAGAATCGATCACCTGCTTGTGCTCCCTAGTGCTAAGAGCGGTTTCGTCAACCTTAAAAAACTCGTACTGCGCCAATTTTGTGCTCTATCATGACCTTAGCTAGGGACGAGAACAACACTGCAAGATCGCGCTCTTCCACCTCATTACGGCACTTAGAGAGGGGCTGTGACGTCCTTAATGTGAGGGACGAGTGACGCTCCAGGAAGCGACGCAGCCAGCCTTCCTCCATCGACAAGCCGCACACCAGTCGAGCCACCTGCTGCGCCTTCTCAAGAAGGTCGTGGCGGCTTACAGGGTGCCCGACCTGCTGCCTCCCAAGCTCCCAGTCTCGGGGAATTTCTTCTGCATTTTATGGTAGCATAGGATGCGGACCGCGGCGGTTGGGATCCCTTTCCGAGCTAGAGCGACGTACTACTTAAGCGTGCTATGGGAAATCTTGGTTTTGTCGCTCGTTATCTTCGTAGTGGGCCCCGAAAGCACCTCTTGAACGGCAGCGTCAAGTTCTGCGTCAGAATAAGGTGCTCGAAGCCTTCCCATTGAGCCAGGTTTGGAAATGGGCGGGAAATATCCAGATATAAAGTGCTTCAGGTTTTTACTTAGACGTAGCAATTGTAGTTTTGGCAAATCATATCAGTAACCGTACGGGTACATTGACGGTATTGGCTGAAAATAGGTCGGCTACTAAACTGGCAAAAGCTACTTTCTAAAATGTCGTACGAATGTCTTCTCAGGCCTGGTGAAAAAATGGAATTCGTTCAAACTACCCATTTTACTCTGAAATGTTTGGGGCTGCGCAAGTCGCCGCCAGTACTTTGGTTCCGCAGCCATCACTGCCAAAGTTCTCAACACGTGAGGCTCGTTTTCGTAAGGCCCGCGACGCTAATACGCTGGTGTTCTCAGTCCCTACCCGCTCCAGTTTGCTGGTGCCGCTGCTTCGGCCCGTGAGCCACGCGTACGAGCAACACGATGCGCGTTGTTTACACTTGTTACAGGCCGCGGCATTGGTGCCCAGTTGCAAGTGTAATAAGCTGCTGGCGACCATAACACAAGCACTAAAGATGCCTCTATCTGCAGCGACCAGAAGCCGCTTGGAAAATAAGTTACGTCCGCTGATAACAAAGTTACGTAATGAAGAAAAGGAGAGCGGGACCCGGCCATTAGTTGCGCTGAAGCTGAAGGAGAAGGTGGCCGAGTGCTTACGGTCCTGGATTGCTGAGCCCATCGAGGGTTTCGTATTGAGGAAGGATCATGTCGTAAACGGTATGAGGCTGGACGACCTAGTGGCTACACCAGCTGGGGCGGGGTACTTGAGGGGGTACCGTCGCGAGGACGGCATCTGCACGGTCGTGTACCCCTGGGGACATGGGTTCGTGCATGTTAAGGACGTGGAGAAGGTGAAACAAGCGCTGGAGAAGCACCTTAAGAAGCGCACGTACAACGAGTACGTTGCACTGGAGCACCAGCAACTGTACGAGCAGATTGAGGGACTGTTGGAGAATCTTCCGCCAGCACCAGAGGAGAGCACTGCAGCTAAGAAAGAGACGGGAGGGGAGGGGGAAGAAGACATTGAAGAGTACAAGGAGCTGCTGGATTCTCTGGAAGAAGAGGTGCGAGCATTCGATGGGCAGGAATTTGTGATCTGATGGTAAAGTGTTTGTGCTTTGTTGCAGCATGTGGACACGACGGTACTTCGTGAGGATCTGGGGTTGTTGCGTCGAGTACAAGCACTGACAAACAAGGTGAAGGAGCTCCGTCGCTCGCACATGGCCAAGGAACCTCAGCCTAAACTGCTGCGTACAAACGAAGATGAGGAGATGGAGGTCGACGCTGAACAGCAGGAACCTGATGAATCAATGCAGAACCAAGATCAGGCAGGAGAGCACAAGCAAGAGCAGGGACGTGAACGTGATCAGAAACCGCAGCCTTCAGATAAAGAGCGGGGAGAACCTTCGAACAAGCAGACAGAGGCTGAGGAGCTACAGCAGTGATTGCAGGTGACGGCAGTGTGTGCTTTGTATTTAAGGTTAAGGCGAGAAGTAGTGCCACGATGCTATTTCTGTCGACCGAGCATCAAGAGAGCAACTTCCAACTAATTTTCGTGCTTGCACGAAGTCTTGAACAAGCCGGAAGGCTTTGTTGGCATGGAACAGCGGGACCGTTGGCTGGATAAAATCTGAATAGGTGACGGATAGCTTCATGGATGATCCACTACTTCAAAAGACAAAAACTAAAGCGACCGATCTGGTTGTATTACCAAAGTACCGGTATTTCCATTGCGCGATTTTAATGCAGAGAATTTAGCTAAAACGCGAAAAGAGAATGGCATCCGCCATCGACGCGATGCCAACGCAGCAGCAAGTGCTTCTTGCTCTGAAACTGTTGCTCTCGATAAACGAGCTCCAGCCAGCCAACATTCAATTTACTGTATGCGAACACCGTCGCTTCACCGTAGCAATGTGAGAGGCGTCGACGGTGATACGACACTAATCCAAAGAATCTAAACATCTTGGTTTGAAAATCCAAACATTTCATTATAGTACCTGGTGACGAAGCGCAAACGACAGCAGTTTGCCAAGTAAAACGTCATGGCTCTCGTTGACAATAGTCTGCGCTGAAGAGTTGTAACTTTTGGTCCGTAACAATTCCTTCGTATCCTTCAACTGGATCATCGCCAACAAAACTGCACATAAAACGTTAGTATGTGCATGTACTGTGGTGCATTCACTCAAACCCCATAAAAACACTAACCTCTCAGCGGTGCCCACGCATCTGTAGCCGCGTAGCTGATTTGTGCGTCGCTCAGTACAGGCGCTTCCCAGTCGGATACTTGCATCACTTTATCCAGCGATCCTCCGAGAAACACCTGACACGCACTCTTGAGTCCCGGTCGCTTGCATCCAAGCTTGTGTGCGATATACAGTGTATCCACCGTCGAGTTCACGGCCTGCACGAGTCTTGACGACTTCAACTGACGGAAATCGTCGCTAAGCGAATGGCCAACTTTCAGTACGTCAGGGTCAACGAAGAGCTCTTGTAGCACCGGGGGCAACGGCTTTCCACGTTGCAATCTATACAAGTACGCTCGTTCCAGTGTGCTGACCTGGATCAAGCACACGGGGTTGCCCGTCGCTCCCTTGAGCGGGCGAAAATCCGGCCTCGCTTCTGTATCCACGCCAACGACCTTCTGTTCCCTCAAATATTCAGCATGTTCCTGTTCCTCCTGCTCCGAGTGGATGAGAGCGATAGGTCCATTGAAGCTGGTTGTGGGCAGGTTGTCATAGTCACATAGTGTCTTCTCTCCGAAACGCTGGAATAAAGCTGAGCCTTCGCGGAACAGTGGCAGGTGTTTAACTCGTGCATCTTTCGCCTCTTTTCGCCGAAGCATACGCGCGAATTCCTTCTGACGCTTCTTGGCAGCGGGATTTAGCGTTTCAACACTTTCTATGGGGCTCTTCACGGAGGCGACGGGCAGCGGCATCTGCTGAATTGTATCAGTGGCCAGCGCGGATCGAAGCTTGTTCAGCTGCTGGTGCTGCTTCTGGCCGGCGGACGACATTGTACCATTACCGCTGGTGCTGCGCCGGCTTCTTCTCTTGCTGGTAAAAGAAGCCGAGTCGCATGGGATGCGTACCAGCGTCCACACACGTCGAGACTTTGCCAACAGCATCGCTGATTGATTTACCTCCAAACAAACAATAGGCTTTTTACTACGTACGATTTGGAAAAATGCATCCAAAAAGAACGCGGCCAATGAAAAAAACGCCCCAAATACAGTATTTGGGGAGTTTTTTATGTCCAAACTGAAGTAAGACCAAATACTGTAGCCTTTTGACCAATTTCGATCGTATATGTACCAACTGTGCAATCTCATTCAGTCTCCTCGCGTAAGAAAGGATGCTGGAGCAACTCGGATGCTGAGGCGCGCGTGCTTGGGTTCTTGTCGAAACACAGCAACAAGAACGCGTGTGCTGTGGGGGACAGGTGAGTCGGGAACTCTGGGATAGTGGTCGCGGAGGCGATGTGGAACATGGCGGTGAGCGGGTTCGACAAGTTTTCCTGTCATTGGCGCATCAGCAGCAGGTTACTTTGGAGTACGACGTGTCGTAAAAAGCAACCAGGGCGCCTGCTACTTACCCATGGAGGTCTCCCCGTTGCCATCTCGACCACGATACAGCCGATACCCCAGATATCTGCCTTTCGCCAGGAATCCGCTCCTTTTTCAGCGCGAACAATCTCTGGTGCCATCCAGAACGGCGATCCCAAGCCTTCGCGCACTGATCTACATATGTGGGCGATTTTAACGGGTAGCACGAACCACCGCAAAAGTTAGAGCAACTGCAACGAACCGCGCTGTCTCTATCGGCTGCTTCTGGTCGCCCTCCTCTGCAATAACTCGTTCTAGTTCTCCCTCCACCGTCCTCTTTGCAGTCCCGAAATCTGCGATCTTTACTCCGCCACGCTTGTCGTCCGCGAGCAGCAAGTTGGCGCACTTGAGGTCACGATGAGCGATCCCTAACTTGTGCAGATGTGCCACGCCGCGTACAACATAACGGGTGTATGCCTGTACCATTTCCTCGTCGAACGGACCAAAGTTCTTCAGCAGTCTGTACAGCAGCCATGCCGCAACCAGTTGCGACCTTGTCAGCACCTTCAACCGACGTCATATTCACGGCGATGAATCGATGCCCTACTTACTTGCTAAGCGAACCTGCCGGGAGATACTCCATGAACATGTTGACAGTCGGACCGTAGCAGTCTATTCATGACCGTAGAAAAAGAAACTCATTAACATCATATTCATCACTAAACTAAAGGATGGCCCACCGTGGCCGAGGAAGCGCACGATATTGCAGTGTTCATGGTGCTGTAGCAGCCGCAGTACGTCCAGCTCGCGCTCAATCTGCTCCCAGCTCTGCACACGCTGCAATGAGAGCGAGCTCACGTCGTTGCCGAGCTCAAACTCCTCCTGGATGAAAATCTGCTTGACCGCGAGCAGCTCCGCACTGACAGCAGCAATCGTGAACCATGTGTGCATCTTACAAAAAGCAAGGTCTGGGCACCTTGGCAATCTTAGTGCTGCCGAGACCTCTCCGAACCGACCACTGCCGACGGATGGTCCTTTCTGCCAAACAAGTGGCCTAACGTTTTCAGTTGGTACATGCATTAGTGTCGCTCATTCGAAGGGGAGCCTTGCTAAACGTACTCGCCCGGCAGCAGCGCGAACTGCACCGGCACTTCCTCGCTTTGCATAGCTCTGAAATAAATTTCAGAGAATAAAACAAATCTCCTTTTATTTTCGGCAGGCGTTATTGTGACCGACTGAAAGGAACGAAGACGAGCCATTTGCGAGACTGTCGGTGGCAGCAGGCTCATTCCAAGAATGCACTGTATATGTACCTCGACGCTTTCAGGATCGTCTGTAATAACAAGAAATGATTGGTGCACTTTGAGTCGGACTTGGGTTTGAGAAGTTGAGGCGGTTCTTGTAAAGCGACGTTACCCACACGTGCATGGAATGGCTTCATTACAGTGTGGGGGGGGCCACTGGGGGCTGACGAAACAAGAGGCAGTGTTGCACCATAACACGTTAATTTAAAGAAGGGCGTCGAGAACAGCTTGTGGATCACAACTATTAATAGCGGTGCCCTGTACCCTGCGTATGACAGCGTTACCAATCGACAGAGCACACAAACAGTCGATATTGGCCCGATATCGTCGATCTGGCCGCGTCCTCGCTGCCCGGCCGGGCCCTCGGTGACCGGTCATTCTCCGTCTTTCTGTCAAGGACACCATCCCACCATGCTTCGACACACTTTGCATCGCGGAATTTCCGCTGGAAATGCTAATGCGTTGACCACTTCAACTCGTGGCTTCACCTCGCCCTCGACTCGAGAATTTGACTACGTCATTGTCGGCGCTGGTTCAGCCGGTTGCGTGCTCGCCAACCGATTGAGCGCCAATCCGAACAGCAAGGTGCTTGTGGTGGAGGCCGGGCCCAGTGATCGCAACCGCTGGGACTCGTTTCTCATCGAGATGCCGGCGGCCGTCCCTATCAACCTGGCTGACGATCGGTACAACTGGAACTTCTCCACTGAACCGCAAGAGTTCCTCAACAACCGACGCATCGGATATCACAGTGGACGTGTCCTAGGTGGCTCATCGTCTCTTAACGCCATGATGTACAGTCGTGGGCATGCCAAGGACTACGATGAGTGGCAAGCCAAAGGTGCCGAAGGATGGAGTTACGCCGACTGCTTGCCATATTTCAAGCGGTCTGAGAATCACCAACTCGGTGAGGACGACTACCGAGGCGGAAACGGGCTTCTTCACACGGTGAGGAACACGCAGATGGATCAACCTTTGTTCCAAGCCTTCCTTGACGCTGGCGCACAGGCTGGATATCCATTCACGGATAATCTGAATGGGTACCAACAAGAAGGTTTTGGCTGGCACGACTTAACTATCCACAAAGGCAAACGATGGAGCACCTCTGCAGCGTTCCTTCATCCTATTATGGACCGTGACAACTTGACTGTCATTACAGATACGTATGTCAACAAGGTGATATTCGATGGCAAGAAAGCAGTTGGTATCGAAGTTGAAGACAGCACAACAAAGGCGGTGTCGAAGATCTCGTCGGTTAAGGAAGTGATTCTATCGGGTGGTGCGATCAACACGCCACAGGTTCTCATGCTCTCTGGTGTCGGAGATGCAGACCACTTGAAGGAAGTTGGCGTGCCCTTAGTGCACCACATGCCAGCGGTCGGACAGAACATGGAAGATCATGTCGGAGTCAACTTGCAATTTGCTTGCAAGCAACCTATCACGCTGTACAATGCATCCAAGCGATACCCACGCAATGTTTTCAAAATTGGGTACGAGTGGTTGATGTCCAAAACTGGTCCAGGCGCGTCCCCACACTGCGAAGTGGGCGGCTTTATTCGAACGTAAGCCTCAGTGCCTTGCTGTTTGGCTATGACTTTGTGTCTAACTCTCGTTTCTTTGTCGGTTGTGCATGTACAGTGCTCCGGGTAAGCAGCAGCCAGATGTGCAGATTATCTTCAGCCCTTGCGCAGTGGACCATCGCTGCCAGTTGCGCGAGGACATTGGCCACGCAATGAGCGGGCATATTTCGCTAATGCGAGGCTCGGACAGTGGTACTATCAAGTTGCGCAGTGCTAATCCTCGTGACCACCCCAGCATCGATCCAAAGTACATGGCTGATGAAGAAAGCCGAGTTACACTTCGAGAAAGCGTGAAATTGACTCGAGAGATCTTTGCTCAACACGCGTTTCAAGAGTTCTACGGAGAGGGGATTTCTCCTAAAGACAGTGTTCAGTCGGATGACGAGATCGACGCGTGGCTTCGTAAGTACGCTGGAGCAGAGTTTCACGTGTCGTGTACAGCTCGCATGGGCGTGGACGACAACTCAGTGGTTGACCCGCAGACCCGTGTACACGGACTGGATGGTCTTCGTGTTGTGGACGCGTCCATCATGCCGAACATCGTGAGTGGCAACACGAACGCGGCTGTAATAATGATTGCTGAGAAGGCCGCCGATATGATCCTGGACAAGCCTGCGTTGCCGAAGGCCAACGTTCCGGTGTACGAGCCCAGCAGCTGGCAAACGCGTCAACGATAAGAGTACGTCCATGTACTGATTGTGCTGTCATTTACTTAACGTACATGTTATAGCGGCAGGATAAAGAAGTACAGTACTGCACCCCGTTTACGCGGGGGTGTACCATATAGAATTTGCAAAAAAATCAGATTTTAGCTTACAAACAATAGTTCATTTCGATTCTCCGGAAGTTTATCAAAGGTCCAAGGGCGCGAAAATGGGGTGCAGTTCTGTACCGTGTTAAAACAGTAAACGCCGTTTGCTAAATTCGTATCCCCACAGATAAATGTGGACTGAAGTTAAATCAGTGTCGGTGCGGCTTGCCGGACGCTACTTGGTGACGAACCCAGATGAATCTAGAGTTCTCTGGGTCAAGAGGGACCCATTTGCGCGTATCCGAAATCGCCTTGTATCGGGATTCCATCCGAACGGCAGCGTGCTCAGCTCGGCGAATCCAGATGGGTCGAGTGCTGGTTGGATCAACAGGGACCCATCTTCGTGCAGACGTAGCACGCTTCCGCCCTGTATTGCTTGGTGGGGCAGAGTTCACATCAGTCTCGATTGATCTTCGTACCCAGATCAGACACGAATTGTTTGGATCGAGCGGGACCCATTTGAACTTGCTAGCGAAAGTCTTGGATCGTGAGGAGCTCTTCGGAGCAGGTTCCATTGTGAAGCTTCGGGGCGTGGGAGCTGCAGGAGCTTTAACGCCTGGTGCTTGGATTGTGTTGTTAATCACAGCGGCTACAAGTGCTTCAATAGCTAATTTCACTTCCAGTTCAGCCTCTTTAGAGCCCACGACATCGCTTTGATCATCCGTTACAATAGCAATCTCGACATCGTCAGTGCAGTCATCTCCAGACGTAAACGGTTTCGATCCAATTGTACTCGCAGCGCCCTTTTCAGACACATCAGTTGTCTCGTCTTCCGGTTCGTCCTCGATTTCGCTCTCTGTATCTGGCACGTCCAACACTTCATCGTCATCAGCATCATCGACTTCAGCCTCTGCAATCGTCGCAGCAGGACGGTGCAGTTTGATCAATTTCAAGTTGTTCGGATCACGCGTGAAACACGGTCGCTCCAGGGTCAGTCTTAGAGCTGGTGCTCTAGGCTGTGAGTTGCAACTGCGTCGGCTGTTGGGGTTGCTTGCAAGAGTGCTAATCCGACCTCGACTGCTGGCTCGAGTACCAGCGCTACCGGCATTGCTTGCTCGGCCCTGACTGCTGTCTCCATTACTCCTGGCCGTGCTGGTCGTAGCAGTTGTAGCAGCGCTACTCGGCGTTTGACGATGTTCCGAATCTCTCTTTGGCTCCAGTGCTTGTTCCAACGCTGACAGCCACGTGTCGAACGTGGCGACATCAGGTGCCCGGAAACTGCGTCGCTTTTTGCCGTGCCGAACAGTAAAACGGTGTCGGGAGACGTCTAGCTCACTCGGTGTCTCTAGTCGGGCGGGATACTGCAAGAGGAATTCCTCACGCCCACCGAATAGTGTTGGTCGCGAAAATGCAAACACGGGTGCCTCCGGTTCCGGTTTCTCCACAAGCCGCAGATCAGCCTTGTGCCTACGGAAATGGGTAGCAAGGTCAATAAAAGCTCAAAACCCCTTCTTGGTATCATTTCTGGCTGCCACTCACCAGAAGATGTTGAACGCCTTCGTCTGCATAGGACTCTCGAGTCCTGCCATCCTGTCGCAGTTGCAGTAGCAGTGTAGTCTTGAGCAGGAGCTGGTGGGTTGCGAGTTGAGCGTCTCTGGGCGGAACGGAGCTTTAAAATGGACAGTTTTGCGCCTCGACGCATGGTGTCTGCTACCCGCGACGGGTAGGTGTCGGGTGCTGAGATGTGAAACCATTTGCTTGGGATTGGAGACACCACCTCAATCCATTGGGTCAAAAGCGTTTTCATTGCTTATAGTCAACCGACCGAACGCAGGAAACTGGCAAGGGCCAACGGAATTCTTTGTTGGGAGACCATTGATATAAATTAAATACGTTGTTTTAATGGAGAAAACGGTGAATGAATGTAACATATTTTAAATAACAGTGCTTCCTTGCAAAATGCACCCTTCTTTCGTCGCAATACATGTAATTATTCGTTGCGTCCTACATGCCTTTACCCGAGCCCGACAGCAAGTACACTGCAGAATACATGTAGAAGCCCTGCAACACTGGAGCCCAGAGCCGACGGCTGTACTCAGAGCTATTAAGCTGACCCAAGAATAGTAAAAGGGCGAATTGAACCGACCTGGATCGCTACATGGAATAATGCCACTATAGATCCCGCTTGCCAAATTAGTCGCTGAGAAAATTAATATTTTATTAAAAATAATACAGCCAAGTATCCACCAAGCCCGTTCCCTTGTTTAGTATGCGTAGTACTAAATACCTGCCAGATTTTATATCTAAACAACCTTTTTTTGTGTTATTCAGTCATTTTTCTAAGGAAAGCCCTGATTGACGTTTGCTTTCGGGCAGCGTCTCTTTCTTTCTGTAGATCGTCTCGGACTCTGCTATGAAGTACACGTAGGCTACTCAGAACGCTAGCTTCCACGTCAGGATGTTCTGCTAGCAGGAATATCACCGATCGAACAGCGTCAGCTTTATCTGTAAGAGACATTTGGGGCGACAGTGTGTTTGAGTGTCCGTGCTCTTCGGTCTCTTCGCTGTCATACTCACAGATTTCTTCGGGGTCTTCATGCACCGACGCCAGCAATGCGAGGTTGGCAGAATCACTCAGTAAGTCATCCGAAGACGCAACTTCCATTTTAGTCTCTTGCTCTGCAGCATTGCACACGAAGTCTTCAAGATCCATTGGATCTCGTACTCTCAGGGCATCTACGAGCTGCTCCAGAGCCTTGACTAGCTCTTCTTCTTCTTGTAATACGCGGCGCGGCGTGACGTCGTACGACCGGGAACAAGACCGGTATGACGAAAGCAGTTTAGGATACACTCAGAAGATTTCTCCCTCCATCAGGCCTTAATCTATCGCATTGCAGCTAGCTGGTCAATTTTGTAAATATCCGTTTGCGTCCGCATGGTCCAGCTGACGGTGGCGATATTGTCGCTTGAAAGAGGCAATTATGCCTGCGTCTAATGGTTGCAGTCGAGAAGTAGTATTCGGAGGTAGAAACAGAGCAGGGACGCTCTTGGGCTCCAGATTCGAAACAATATGTGCTGAAGCGTTGTCGAGAAGAAGAACGATTCGACGTCGCTGCCTGGTCATATCGCTATCAAGTTCACGCACCCAATCTTGAAAAACCACACATGTCATCCAGGCTGTTTTCCTGTTGCGATAATAAAACCCAATTTGCTCGCCAGTCTTTTTTATTCTTGAAGCAGCGAGGTTTCGCTGCGTGACCAATAATAAATGGCTCACGCTCGTCAGAGCAGTCATCATTACAGGCGAAAGCTACAGTGATATGTGTTTTATTCTTTTTGGAGCCTTCTACCTGGCGCAGGGCAATGGTTTTATCAGGTGCCATGCAGTAGAATAGACCCGTTTCATCCATGTTGTAGATGTCCACCAGAGCGACTCCGTTGAGGTGCTTTCGAAGAGCTTGCCGCTGAGTGGGGATACCTTCATTGTTGACGAAGCCACTCTCACCATGCGTTTTGAAGTGTTTGAATTCATGTCACTTCTGAAATGATTGCAACCAACCGTCTGAAAACTGCAAAATCTGGTCAGGAGGAATATCCACCAGCTCAGCCAGACGCTTCGACTTCCGCTTGATCATGTCTCCATTAAAGGAAAATCCGTTTAGACTGGCAATGTAGTACCCAACTGGCTAGCGCTTCATCCACCACGGGGAATGCAACAACACGGGCATGCTTACAGCCCAAATCGCCTTTTTTAGTGGTAAGACATTGATCTCGAGCCCTCAAAATGTTGGAAATGGTTCCTTGTGTCTGTGCTTTAAGCAGTCCGAGCTCACGCCGAGCCTCTTCAGCAAGCTTTCTCTGAGTTATAATGAAATCTTCGTCGCGCCATTCACAGATGCGTTTCTTTTGCCCAAACGTGAGGTTGCCGACTTGCTTAAGGCGCTTTCCCATCTTGTTGGGACTCGGCGAAATGACAACTAAGTGCTTTTGAGAGCCATGGCAAGCGAAGTATCGTTGGTCCACTGGCTGGATGAAACTTAATCGTGCTGCTGTACTTAATACTAACAGTTTCCACGGGTAGTATTAATTTGGCGAGGGAACTCTGTAATACTTGAATTGTAAATTCCCAGCCTGATCTATATTAATACTAGAAACGAGCTATTTATGGATAGTACCCTGCTTCTCCATTTAAGTCCGATGTTCAAGTGTTTAAGCCGATTGGTCGGTTTTTGAGTCTGCAAGACTCGGCCCACTTCTTGGAAACTTCGATTAGAGACTAAAATACTATACAGAAGTCCCCCTCAGTAAGCATAGGGGGCGGTCTGATAAATTTTCATAGGAAAATAACAGCTATATTGTGATTTATCAATATAACTTCAATCTAAATGGTCCGATATAAAGGGGTATATCATGTGGAAGCTACGCTTATTCAGGGGGACTTCTGTACTAGTACTAGTATTAATACAGGAAGGGTACAATAAACCCTTCTACGAGCAAAATGGATACACCCTCCGGAAATGAGGTTAAATGGCGTAGTCCAAAAACCAGGAGCACGGGTTTCGAGGTTTTATTTCTTAATCCGTCTAAGTACGAGAAAAAATGAGCAAAGATTGCGAAAACGAAGATTTTGCTCGTTCTGGATCGTCTCGTATGGCTTTTCATTGGTTAATATTGTGGTTGATCATCGTAAATTACGGCAACAAGACCGCAAGGCAGAGAAGAAATCTGCTGCAGCCACACTCACCGATAGCTCCCCCTGTTGACCACGCTGCGGTGATATCAAGCGCGCACACAGCCACCGCATCTTGACCAAGGACCGCGGATAAGGGCCGAGAGGTGTGGGTTACTATAGGAGTTTATCCATGGTGTCGGAGCCGCCGGCTGCGGTGAAGCGATCGATCGAGAGCTGGGCAGATATTGGACCTTTCAGGAGAAAGCCCATACAAGCCGGAGAGAGTTCTTTCATATTTGATTGGGATGTCCATGTTGAATACACTGAGGGAGACAAGACGAAGATTGGCTACATTTGTCTGGCAGATGAACAATGTCGAAACGCAGAGACCGCCGACAACCTGTTGCTACTGTCAAAGGGGAAGACGTCCGTTGCCGAAAAGCATCTCCGGCACTTTCACAATTTGGAGTCCCCCAAAACAAAAAAGGAGCATCACAACCAAATGAAAACGATAGGCGGACATTGAACACCTATGCTCATCAGCTTTGTATTCACGCAATCGGGCCCGATTGAACATTTTTCTGGAAACATTACGCATTATCAATCATAATTTGCCGTTGCGCTTCGGTGAGTACGAGGAATCCAGACTCATAGAAGGGCTCGTGGTAAAGACGAAATGAAGGTCTTTATCACTACTGAGATTGTCGAAGAATCGATCATTGAGCTCTATGTCTTCACGAGACAAGAGATCGTTGACATTCTTGAGTTTAGTCGTCAGTTGTGTCCTAACTTTACTATGGTGGCGGACTTCTGGCCATGTAAAATGAGGTCAGAGAAATACCTCGGTGTACGTGTGTATTTTATCGATTCAAATCAGCAGCTCAAATCAGTGCTTATGGGTGGATACACGCAAATTTAGTCCAGCCTACGGGGATCGCGATAGTCGAATTAGACGGCCATTTTTAACGTGGATTAGACGCACACTTGAGGATTTTCAGCTACCAATAAAGGAATTCTACGGGGCTACAAGCGATAGGGACTCTGATGTCGTGGCATTGCTGACTGAAGACCTAAGTTTGCACTGGGAACGGTGTAGTGCTCAAATGGTTCATGCACCTACACGCAACTCTTTTGGAATGAACGACACGGCCGCTTGCCGTAACCCGGATATGCGCGACTTGATATCAAAGCTAACTCGAGCTATGTATCCAGTCTGAACTGTTGAAGTCACCGGAGATCTGTTTAAAGAGCTGTGTAAGCTACATACCAAAGTTTCTTCAACGGAGTTGCTAAATTTTCTGCTAACAGGCTCTTGAGTTTGACGAAGTCCATCCGGCGGGTCCTGGAGAAATGGTCTGCTCCAGGGTCTTGGTACGCTAAGCGGAACAGAAAGGCTATCCGAGATAAAAAAAAACGCTCGTTGTATTCCCGTAGACAGCCCAACAAGCTAACCTGGTACAAATTCTATTCATTCTGCAGCCTGTTACAGATTTGAAACGCGCTTGCCAAGCCAAGCCTCCTACCCAAGTCGAAGTTTTGATGATGCCGTACAAAGTGCGTTTGAATGATCTGAACCCCGAAAAGCCCGTTTAGCACTATCTTTCTACTGATGAGAACCCCCGCTGGATTGACCCAAGCGAGTTATTGTCACTGGCTACATCTACTCGGTTGCTCCTGCGTGATGCCCTCGATGAAAGGTTCTTTAGTCGCTACTACAATGACAAGAATGACAAGATGGCTGAATACTCTTTAGTATTTGAAATGCAACAACGGCTACACCTAAATAAGCAAAGCCTGAGGTTGAGCCTCAACGTTGTTGTACTGTTGGTATGTCGCCAGCACAATATCAAACTAGAGAAGCCTGTGATAAGCGAATGAGCGGATCTGAGACAAGCTACTTAACTTGCCGAAAAATGTCGCTGAGTCGATTGATGCCGCTGAGCCATCTTCTTCCACCGCCACCACACCGCATTATAACCACCTGGAGAGCATTTTTGCCCCTCCGTCCCGTAGACCGCAGATCATCACTTCCGACCGATTGCAAAGAACCATTACCGAGCAGTTTGACAAATGGATGGACGACCCCATATAAGTGGAAAGGTCTCCGCAGGGGGTTCCGGAATCTGTACTTACACCGCGGCGACTACAAGATCCTTACAAGAGCGGTAAAGGTGAAGAAAAAAAGGAGAACGCGTAGCTTACTATTGATCATTCTGTAAATATTCGACCAATTTACACTCCCCCTTCTCTTTGAAAACAATAAATATACAAATGCATCAAGCTATGAAAGGGATATAATCTCTTCAGTTGTGAACTTGTTTGAGACCAAGAAGAAAGTTGACATCGTTTTCATCAAAGTAGTGAATGTGTTTGGGATCAAGAAGAGAGTTGACATCGTTTCCACCGCGTTAATACTCAGTTTTTATTTACGGCATGAGCATCGAGCTATGTATCAAGACAGCAGCACGGAGAGCTTTATATTCGGTTCGAAACAGACTAAGGAATAGGGGATGCGGCTGTAGTGTATCACTTCCATACAGGTGGTAGATGGAACTGCCGTCTTCGCTTTGCAGAACCAGCGGATACTATCACGTTAAGTTTATCATCCTTCACTAGAAACGAATTATCTTGACACATGATACTTGAACGGATGGTAACATAACATGTATTATGCCCAAGTGAACGTCTTCTTCAGCAAACTGATTCACTAAGCAATACGCATGGAATTTCGCACTACGCTAGCCAATTGGTATCCGTAGTATCTCAGCGCAATCTACGCTGCGATCTGTATCGGTTTGCAGCAGTTTCCGCCCTCTTTGCAACTGCTTTTTGTGCCGCAGCAATGGCCCGGTGAGGTTCCAAATACCCTCGATCGTACGGTGACTCCAAGGCGCAAGAGACTCGACGGTGTCACTACCGAGCACTCAACGGATATTGGATACGGTCCAGATGTGTCACTCAGCCCAGGATGTCCTTAATATTAATACTGGACTGGCCGAATTCGCATTTAACGGCCAAGAACTGACCATCTACGGTACGAACCCTCGGTGGCGGTTGGGATGAGTTCGCGGAAGACTCCGCGACTCTTTGAAGGAGCGTTCACCGTCTAATACAGGGCGCGAGCTGTTAAAGATGCCCATGCGACGGTGCAGACGACGCTTGGCGTGCAAGAAGATCCATAACGAATCATTTTTCACTTGATAATTGTATTCTTGATTAGGACTTCTGATTAGGAATAGACTCGAAAGGGTAAACATAAATACAGAACAGAATTTCCACTTAAGCACACAGAGCGACGTCCGGCTTCAAGGCCAGCGTCTGGTCAAGCTTGTTTGAGTGTGTTATGCCTGTCGGTGAACACGAAGCTCTGTAGCGAGAGTTATCCGGCAAGGCCAAGAGACTGTGTGTGTTTTGGCCGATTACTATCGGGAGATTTTACGTGACGACTTATTGTTGCCTATTTGCACGACTGGGAGTGCTTGTATCGCATCCCTTCTATTTATCCAACCGAGTGTTGAGCACTCGGTGCCCTCGTAAAAGGCTTACCCGTGCCTGGTACCCTTCTGCTGTTGGGACCACGAGGATTCATAACACCTACTAGCTTTGCTCGTTCTAGTAGCGTGTTCTTATTTTTACTGGTTGGTATATATAAGTAGCTTACAAGGTCCAGTCTGTTCCGATGCAAGGGCAGAACTGGGGTCTTCAGGTCCGCCCGAACGATCGTTTGCTATCCTAGCAGACGTATTGTTGTGGGAGCGTCGTAACTACATTTGTAGCTAGGGAATTTAAACACCACAACTGGTGCCGCAATCCGGGAACAGAGAGTTACCATTGTGAACTGTTTGTATGGCCTTCCAGTTGGCGAGCTACCAAGAAGAGAAGAAGAACAAGAAGAAAAAGAAAACAAGAAACATGGCGAAAGGGCAACCGACGGTACCAGCTACGCCTGCCCAATCTGGCGGAGATCGCAACGAGAGTTCAAGTCCAGACGTGTCGGCTGCACGCTTTGCATTCGCCAAAGAATTTTCGGTGAGCTTCGAGGACGAGGCGGACATCGGTCCTGACGCCCATGATTTCGAAGACAAGACGCCGGCCCCAGAGCCAGGCGCAACGACACCGGAGACGGCCACGCTATCATCGGGACTGAGCGGGGCGACCAGGTCCCTTTCGAGGAATCTCGCCGACGAGCTAGACGACGTCGCGGGACCAGAACCGGTCTATAAATGATATGACGATGGGACCGAGGGCTCTAAACCTTCGGTGGCGAGTGCAAAGCGCTCAGCATTGCTGAAGGCACATCACCCACCTATCAACGGTGATACGCCAAGCGCATTTTCGACCGCGTAAGGTACTGATGCAGAATGATGAGTGGGTGCAGCTGTTCAAGCCCATCCCGAAGAGAAAGACCGACTGGCCCTCGCTTGCACAAGATCTTTAATACCCAGTCAACTCGGTGTCGACTAGCCAAGTTGCCGAGGATTCGGTTTCGCTACTATTGTCGCTGGGCTTCGAGAATGAGACGTACCATCGACGATGTCGCTCCAAGATTGGTGTCCTCATGAGGCCGAGACTGCTCTCCAGAAATGGAGGAAGAAGCCTCGGAAGGCATTTGGTGCAGTGGGCATCAGCGCTGGGAAGCAGCCTGTGAGTCGACCGACCGTTCTTGATGAAGATTCGTCCAAGATTCCGCTGCCGTAGACACCCCAACGACTTGATCATACTCCTCCGATCAATCGTGGAGCTGACCGTGGTGCCTTTGGCATTACCGATGCTTCACCATACTTTTAAGACTCGCACATGGTTACACCACGTTCGGGGAGCCGTATGCGACGTATATACGCTGATGACGAGAGTTCGTTCGGTCGTCGACGTGGTGCACGAGCCTCCAAAGGTGGTACCGGACGTCGTCAGGTTGACAGCGATGGTTCGTCAAGTGACAATGACGTTTTGGTGCGTACACGGGAAGTGGTGCGTACACAGGTAGGGGTTACTTCAGAGAAAGAGAGATACCAGTAAAAAGCTGGCAGACGCGGCTAAGCGCCTGCCGAAAGCATTGGGCGAGCACCATGCTCCCCAAGCTTCCCGGGAGGGCGTTACCCCTACCCGACCAGGATCAATAAGCAGTAGCTATTATAAAATAAACTGATCAATCCAATGGTTCTAACACTTTAATGCGTACCACATTTAAATCAAATGTTAAATGTCTTATGGGGAGGTAGTTTAGCAAAGATTTTGTGCTCCTCGATATCATTACAAGAAGAGTCTTGTTTGTTGTTGGAATAGCGCGACCTTTGAACAATTACATTCTGAAAAAAAGTCGAATAAATGACGGATAGATTACCGATTGATGTTCCAATATTTATTGTGCTTTGCAGATCGAATGTCCATCCGTTTTAAAACCTAGATCGAGCATGGTCGGAGCATAAAACCACGCGTAAAAATGAGATGGTAAGAGGCAGGCATCGATTTGTTTTATCTCTGATCGAATTACCATTTCAAAACGGCAAAAAGGGTCAATTTAAAGGAGATTTGGTGGCTGCCGTAGCTCGATTTATCTGCCAGTCTAGCTATATCAATTTGTACTTTTTATTGATCTCGATTTAATAAAACGACCTCTATTTATTAGAAATCGAGCATTAGGCTAAGTGAATCAATGCTACATGTAGGTCGAGCCTACTGTACAAGTTCTTTATGCTACAGTACAAGTATTAAAAGGTTTCCTCAATTGCCAGTCATTTCGATCTTGTAATCTCGACTGCATTTTCGGTTCGGCTAGGTGCCGCCCGAATCAGGCCCTGATTAACGCTACATGTATTATCCTGAAAAAAAATTAGGGGTACTGTACGCGCCTTGAAAACATAAAAAAGCAAATTTTGCTGTCACGCATGAACCTTGGCGTGATTCCCAAGCGCCGCACATCGCCGCCACGTTCTCGGCGTAGAGGTGTCGCCGACACTCGAATCGTCATTTTGTGCAGCATTTCGCCTCGTCCATGGCGCCAGATGGCTTCGAAAGCCAGGCCTTGGCGCGTCTGACTCTCCGACTGGGAGTCCGAGCGTTGGTCGCGCTTGCTACAGTACACCAGAAGGCAAAGCCCTCACTTAAATCTTGTCCTGCTCGAGAAGGAGACAGTCGGAGGATTCCAAGTGCACTAAGAACTCTCGGACATCATGCGCTGTTGGACCTTCGGAGCTGCGCTAGCCGTGCTAGTATTTGGATCAGTGGACGCACTCGATAACTGCGACAGCAACGTGCTCGTCAAGGCCTACGAGGGTCTCAACGTGAACGCCCAGCTGGTGTCGTGTATGACGCAAAACAACTTCAGCGCCGCGCTCGACGGCTCCGTGGACCTCACGTCCGTGAACGCCGCCACGGCACCCGATCAGGTCAAGAGTATCTGCGCTTCGGAATCGTGCAAAACCATCCTGTCAGCGATCGTGGGCAGCGCCAATTTCAATCTGACCAACTGTATCGTCGGCAGCAATATTGTCCTCATGACGGAGATTTCCAATCTTCAGGCTACCTGCACTGCCCTCTATACGGCCACCCTGGCCCCGGCCGCTACGACTGCAGCACCGACCGCCGCTCCTACGCCAGCTCCTACGCCAGCTCCGGTTGCTACAACTGCGGCTCCGACGACCGCTTCTACTCCAGCACCGACGCCAGCAGCGACGCCGGCCCCTGCGGTCACAACGGCGGCTCCGACCGCCGCTCCTACTCCAGCCCTTACGCCGGCTCCGGCGGCCACAACTGCGGCTCCGACGTCCGCCCCTACTCCAGCACCGACTGCTACTCAAGCTACGACTCCAGCACCGATGGCGGCTCCGACTGAACCCCCTGCAAGCTCCTCTGCTGCTCCAACAACTCTACCTACCGATGCCCCTGCCACTGAAGCCCCTGCCACTGAAGCCCCTGCCACTGAAGCCCCTGCCACTGAAGCCCCTACCACTGAAGCCCCTGCCACCAAAGCCCCTGCCACGTCGACTGCGGCTCCCTCGACAGAGCCCCCCGCGACTGAGGCCCCCACCACGGCTCCTTCCACGGACGACCAGACCCAGCAGCAACAGCAGCAGAAGTTTTTTTCGGTGCTGAACTCGGACAGCGGCTCGGCTGCTGGTGTGATGCCCGGTAAGTACTGCAAGTAAGAACAGGGAGAATAGACCAGAAGTGTCTACGCTACATAAGGTCTTCCACTGTAGTAGCTAATACATGTACTTAGGTACAGTACATGTACTACTACGGTAGTAGTACAAGTATCTACACAAGCCGGGCGCCGCCGCTACGCGGCGGTAGTTTAGGTTTGCCCGACGATAACTTGTGCTTACCTGATTATCTTGAATCAAGATTCTTTGATGCAATCTCTCTTTTTATTGCTGGCTATCACTGTATCTTCATCTTCCACCCAAAACCGCCAGCACTTCAAATAACATTTATACAAACGCTACACAATCCGTTTACATGTAGTTTAGCGTCGTGCTCGATATCACGTTCCGCGTCAGAGACGCAGCAAAACGTGGAGCCGCGAATCGGCATTATTAAAAGTGTCGAGCATGTATCGAATTTACTGCCGCCTTTCCCCTTACGGGAGAGCAACGACTGGGATTCAATTCTAGAAGCTGCCAAAAGCTACACAGAGGATAATCATCTTCGGTATCGCTGGCGCGACTCACGCTTACCGAGACTAACAACAAGTAATTGTTTTCTTTCACGACAGATATACGTAAAGGCACTGTTTCTTTCCATTTAAAGGCACTGTTTTACTAATATTAACTCTAAATTATTTGAAGAACTTCTGAAGTGAAATTGACTAGCAAGTTCAAGTGGGTGTTCAGAGCTTACAGGTGTACACACGGCTGCTACTCGAAGCCGCGGGGTAATGGGAAGCGGCAAAAGGTTGTTTGCTTTCAAGGGTGTCCTGCGAAATTTACTGCAAGAGTAGAGAACTCTTCTGACGGTTGGAAAATTGTCATCAAGAACGAGGTATTGTAACTACAGTATAACTGTGTATATTCAGTTATCAATGTTTGCTGACTTACCTGTTGTATTCCTAGACTCGAACACACAACCACGAGGTTAATAGTGACATTGCCGGTGTCGAATTTTCTGTACTAATCCTGTCCTAACTGTCCTACAAAATCCTAAAATACGTCGTAAATTACTGGAATAGATTGCAAAATGTATCCTAAAAAGGTTCTAAATCCGGAAAAACATTGCAATTCTAATACTGTCCAAAATTAAAAACCGGTATTTTTGTCGGAAATTTAGGACATATCCTAAACCCTATTTTGAGTCGAACTTGGGATTGAGGTTTTTAAAAGTTAACGGGAACCAATCATGCAGAAACACATAGCTGTTTTAATTTTTATTGTCTGCACCGGTGCGAAGCATTAGCGACTCAGACCCGCGCCCGTTCCTACAATTCAGCATGGCTCGCCCCACCACCGCCGGCATACAGCGTATGCTCTGCTTTGGGCATCCGGACTTACTGCGGATTCTACGGTACCCTCAGCTGACCCTTTTTATTGATGGTACCTTTTCGGTGGTACCAAAAGGTTTCTTGCAGTGCCTGATTGCTATGGTCTACGATCCTAGTGTCGACGTATACGTGCCACTACTCTTCGTACTCGTCAATTCGAAAAGCCAAGAAACGTATTGGCGAGTACTAGAGCAGCTCATCATGGCGTCCGACCGCCAGCTGGAGCCTCGTGATGTTACCTGTGACTTTGAGCTTGCGCTCATTAACGCTGTGATTGAGCAGTTCCCTGCAGCCAACATTTTTGGCTGCCTCTTCCACTGGAAGCAGGCTCTACGTAGGAAGATGATAGAACTGAAGATTCCCAAGGAACAGATCGCAGACGCCATGAAGTCGGGAAAACTGGACGTGCTTACTGTCATTCCTGCCGAAGAAGTGCTGGACAAGGTACGTAATTTTTGTATTTTACTTACGGAAAATATTACTAAAATAAAATTAATTTTTTTTGGCAGGGACTACGGTATGTTCGAAGCATCATCGATGAGACCGCAGCAAAGACTAAATGGAACGCTTTCTGGAAGTATTTTGTGCGAACGTGGACAAAGAGGTTCGACACGTCGCTGTGGAACGTGAGCCAGATGCTGCGCAACAATGTGAGCATGATAAATCGGACTAATAACCCGCTGGAGAAGTACAATCGCGATTTTGCTGCTCGCATTGGTGCGCCACATCCAAGTATTCTCGTCTTCATTGAAGCTGCAAAGGCAGAGGCACATTCCTACATAAAACTGCTGGACGACATCAAGCATGGTCGACAGAGCGCTCCTGCTCATGCGCGGTCTGTGGACGTTGAAGTCACCGGGAAATACATGGCGTTTGAGTAGCATTCTGCATTCTGTAAGCCATAAGATATCTCTCGTTGGCATGGGTAGTGTAGCCTTACAACTTTCGTATTTGTCCTAACTGTCCTAACTGTCCTAACGATCCTATAACCCATGCCGAAGTTTTGTGCCAATACCGTAATTTATGACAGTAGGTATTAGGACAAGTTAGGACGTTTAGGACGCTTTTAGTACGGAAAAACTTCTTCCACATTGCCAGCTTCTATTTGGGAGCAGCCTCTGCCGATGATCATTCTGAAGTACTGAACACGTTAGTCCAGATGGTTCACGCCCGCGCAGAGCCTAGATGCATCACTTCCTTCTTGACGGATAAACTAGGTAAAATCAAATGGCACGGGGTGTTATTCTCTATTTGATTTTAACGTTAGGTGTTTTATGATGTTATGTTGATGACAGGGAGGCCTGTGACTTCACAGCAAGCCAGAAATATAATGCATCGCTTAGAAGGGAAGACGGATGCACAGGAAAACTGAAAATACTTATGAATGCAGTCGCACAAGAGAAAGGCAGCGATGTAACTTTTCTTCAGAACCAATTGGATATCACGACGGCCATCGTGTTTCAGACGAAACAGCAGAAGAAAAGCTTTGAGCTGTGGGGAGACTGCTTAGTGATGGATTGGACACATGGTATTAACAACCTTGGCTACCACTTAGGTATGTATAAGTACCATTATTGGGAATGTTGCCTTTAACTAATGATGTCTCTGAGGCAACTTCATTTAGGTAGTCTCATCGTAACGACATCAACAGGCCGTGGTGTGCCTGTGATTGACTTCCTGTCGCTGGACGAGAAGGCTATTACGATGAAAAAGATTTTTGCGTTCTTTAAGTCTAAGATTCCGCGCTTGGAGGTAATCAAGCCGTTTGTTATAGACAAGAATTCTGTAAAGTGGCGAGTTATTGAAACGTGTTTTCCGAAAGCAAAGGTGCTGCTTTGTCAGTACCACGCTATAACGTTTTGGAGGAAACTGCTCGCGCGCCGTTCAAAGGCGAATCATTCCAGTGGACCACCGTTTAACCTTATGGTTGTGCAGCGAGATGATTTGTAATCAATGTTCGCGCGAATGCTGCACAGGTACGAATTTGAAATTTGTGCTTCTATGCAGTTCCTTACGTTTGTTTCCTGTTTCTTGTAGTAACTCCGAGTCCACATTTGACGAGTGCTACGAAGCATCCAGAGACTACTGCGACAAGAATGCACCTGATGTAGTGGCCTATTTCGACAAGAATTGAAAATCGTGTACAGACATGTGGGCTATTTTTGCACGAGACAGATACTTTTCGGCTGGAAATTCTACGACGAATCGTATCGAGGCCAGCTGGCACCAGGTGAAAAAACTGCTCGGTCATCGGCCACGACTAGACAAAGCTGTAGCGGGTTTGCTTGGGCATCAACGAGCTGATTTTCGTAATCTTAGCTACGTACTCAGCAAACACGGATCCACCTCGCGTCGGGCAAACAGTGTGTCGGAATTCCTGCAGCCAATTGCTTCCCTGAATGAGCGACTACGCCTACCATTTACTACGGAATGAGTGGGATGATCTGCACAGCGATATGAAAGATGCTGATTGTATTCAATTCGGTAGCAAGTACGATTGGGAAGTGTACACAAATTATCGGCGGTATAATTGTGACGTGGAGAAATGGAGTTGTTCGTGTAATTTTCACACAAGTACGCATTTGCCGTGCTGGCATCTCCTCCTGATTGTACGTGATGGATTGAAGCTACTAAGTATATCTACCCAAGCTCTCAGAGGACGATGGTGCATGCGAGCTGCTCGTAAAATGAGGTCAAGCTTACATGAAGGCTGTGCTACACTTTCAAGAATTCTGACCTTCGTCAAGTTGCCACCTTGTGCGAGTGTTAACGCTTCGGCGCCTTTGGCTTCGGCACCTTTGTGTGATCAACTGCCTTTAACTTATGAAACACCTTTATCACGACCTTCTCCGAGGAGGGTAAGCTACGTAAGACTCCGTCGTGGCGAAGAGGCTGATATGGTTGCCATGTCATCTAACGAAAAGTACCGCTACGCATTGGCGACATTAGAGCCTGCGTTGAGCACGTTATCGCAGCTATCAACGGTGGAATGTTTTCAGCGAGTTTCACAACTAGAGACAGCAGCACATGATTTCTCGCGACAATACCTTGATCACAACACAGTACTTGCGGGTGAGGACCTCCGTCCTCAAGAAGATAGAAACGAAGAGGCCCCCAGTGGTGACGAGGACACTTTCGATGATGTGGAGATGCCGAAAATGATCCGTGGTACACGGAAAACAATAACTTCGAAGACCAACAGCGAGATGAACAGGGAGAAAAACACTCTGCTGGCTCAACTGTTACTGAGCGTTTTGGTAGTAGTATCTTTATTCCTGATAGGACTACACCATTTCAGGTTCGTTCTCCCCACCGCAGGAGTTCGATACAACCACCCCAGAGCCGACTTGCACATAGGACCGGGCAAATCTCAGTTCAAAACACCCAATGCCTGAGTTCAATACACACAGGTGTCTCTTTTTTTGTGTGGCCAATTACTGCGAAAGTACCAACTTTTGTCATTTCGAGACCATTCGAGAACTCAAAGGCATCCATCCATTCATCGCTTCGCCTCGCGCCCCTTTCGTTTTGGCATAATGGGTAGCACTTACCCTGAAGACGTTCGTGCACGTGTCCTCGAGGCAGCGAAGGAGGGTGAGAACTGGCGATTGGTAGCAGCTCACAACGGCGTTGTGGTGGAGACTGCGCGGGCTCGGGTGGATAGTCTCGAATTCTCGAATGGTCTCGAATTCTCGAATGGTCTCGAAATGACAAAAGCTGGTACTTTCGCAGTAATTGGCAAAAAAAATAAAAGAGACACCTGTGTGTA